GTAGTGAGGTTGGCCCAGGATCGGGCAGTGTTTTGTTCTGCTGTGCATGGGGTCGCTATGGGTCCGTACCGACTCGATGGCACCTAACAACCACAACAGCACATCCATAAGTATAGGTCAAATTCATCTAATTGTAGCAATTTACACTTGTTTCCTTTATCAAATTTTTAAAATCTTCTTTTAGTGGAGTTGTGATTGAAATCATAGAAGTTAGGTCAAATGGGTACTGTCTGCAAGTCTGGGTGTTCTTGTGTGTCTCCCCTCACTTCATATCAGCTGGAAACTCCATTCTCAGCTGTAGCCCGCCATGGCTCTGTCCTTGTCCATGGGCTCAGGAATCCTCCCAGGTCTCACCACATTTCAGACCAACCAGCCTTTCTCTCTCTCATCTCCAGGTCAACGGGACTCTATGGAATGTGGTTGAACTCAGCCCATTTCTTCATTGCTGCCTTTCGCCCTCTTCCAATCACCACTAGACCAACATGGTTGCCAGCAATCTCCCATGCCTGCTCATGTGTTCCCTTTGAATTTCAGTCTTGGAGGGGTTTGTCCTTAAGGGACTCAATTGCTTGCCTTGATGTCTCCCCGATGAACAACTTGCTTGTCCTTGTAGTAACCATTCAGACTGCCATTTTTATTTTTGATTTAGATTTTTCCTGCTGGTCTTTCTTTCAAGACTTATCTTCTGTTCCTCTAGCTGCTCCAGGCTGGTTGCTTGTCCTTTGAAGTAGGAATGTCCCACCTCAGAAGTTTCTGGATGGGGCATATGTGTTTTGTTTTTATATGGTCAATTTGATGAGTATTTGTTAGTGTTTCCCTTGATGGTTTCTGGATATTAAGTCATGATTAAAAGGGCTGGTCCTGTGCATTTCTATCTGGGATGCATCTCGGTGTGATGGAGGGAGTGGATCTGACCATGTCTTTTTCGCAGTGCTCTGTGGGGTTTAAGCTCCAGCTGCTCACCGCAGTCTGCGCTGTTGCCTGAGGTGCTGCCTTTGCAGGCACTGACTTTCCTCCTGTTTCTGCGCTTCCTCCTCCCATCAGGCCTCTCTGTGTACCAGTATCAGGTAGTCCTAGAGGTTTTGCCATATGTTTCGGTAACGGGCAGGGCTACGTACTGGGCTCCTCTTTGCTTTTCTTTTTCAGGGTTTAATCAGATGCCATGGGATGGATTCAGACTCTCAGGGACTCCATGTGTGTCTGAATAGAATGTGCTCCATCGGGGTTACATTAGCTGGGTTTTCAGGAGTGAATTGCCAGGACTTACTTCTAAGGTCTCCTGGGTAGACTCAAGCTTCCAGCCCTTTAGTTAGCAGCTGGGAGCATTCACTGTTTGTATCACCAGGGACTCCATCTGTAGCTCATCTGGCTTTTTTTTAAAAAAATGTTTTATTGTGAATTATGTGATAGTTTACATGGAAGAACATTAGTTTTACATTCATCCTATCGTATATCGTTTCATTGCTATGGTTACAATCCCATCCATGCATCATCAACCAACCAAAGGGTATACACTATAAGCCTGCCCCCCCGGGTCATCAGCACACAGCCCCTCTTCCTCTCTGTGTCCAAAGTCCCCAATTGCTCCATCTCTCCACGTCATCATCTCTACCTTCATCTCAGGTGTCACTGCTTCTCTGGGTAGGGTCCTGCTCTCTGCTCTTCTCCCTTGATGGTCCCAGGGACCTCCGCTCCTAGGCTGAAAAGTCAATCTCTCCCCTCCTTGCTACAAATGTCTACCTTTACATTTCCAACCCTCACAATCAGTCCTGATAACAATTATTCACTATTATATCACAAGAGACCCATCTGTATTTCATTTCATCATCATCTGGCTCTTTTTGCCTCTGTGAATTTAGGGTCAGAATGCCAGTCTCCACAAACGGAGTTCTGGTAGTGTAATGGTTACAAATTGGGCTGCTAACCTCAAGGTCAACAGTTTGAAACTACCAGCTATTCTGCTGGAGAAAGATGAGGCTTTCTGCTCCCATAAAGATTCACAGCCTCGGAAACCCTGTGCAGGGTCGCTATGAGTCAGAACTGACTCCACGGCACCTCACCCCCACCCCCACCACCATGCCTGTCTCCACAAAGAGCAGTGATGCTATTTTCATGGGCGCTAGCTACATCAAATTGATACATGAACTTGAGTGGACTTGGCTTTCATTCTGTTTGATATGAGGTTTTTAAAATAGTGACATTGAGTGGATGTTGTTGTGAAGTGCTGTTAAGTTGGTTCCGACTCATAGTAACCTTGTATACAGTTTCCGATGAGCAACTGGTGGATTTGAACTGTCGACCTTGAGGTCAGCAGTCCAGTGTTGATCCTACGGTGCCACACCAGGAACTGGATGCCGGGTTCTTTTTTGTGTTTTCTTGAACCAACAGAGGAAGGCCACCTGTATTGGAGATGGGAGGTTCGGGTGGTGTGTTCCCACAGCTCATGGGTTCTGAAGGGCAGTATTGCTTCTGCCCTCAGTACACCCCTGGGGACCCAAGCTTTCCCTGCCTCCATGCTGCCCTCCCTTCTCTGCTCGACACCCCTAGGACTGGTCACTCCAGACTTTGGTGGCCTGGGAGGTTGGATCTGCTGCTGATAGCTCTGTGTGGTCCTGGGAAGGTGGTATGGGACGTGAACTTGAGCCTCTGGCTGCCTCCAGGGCTGAGGGGAGAAAAGCAGACTTTTATAGCCGAACTGCTGTCGGTAGCTCTCGCTCACTGAGACGATTCCTGGTGTGGAAGTCCTGAGCATTCTTCTAGCTTAACACCTGTACCTGACGCTCCGACAAGATTGCCTCCTGCTCTTTGGGGGGCAAATATCCAGCCACGGGAGCGGGGACATGGGGCTGGGCGGTGCCAGCCGGCCACCCCTGAGCCCCCTGTCCCCCGCCAGCAATCATACGATGTGTTGCTGCTACTGCTGTTGTTAGTCCTACTCCTGGAAGCCTGCCTCACCACCAGCACCGTGGTCCAGTGTGTGCGCTTCAAGGCCCGCTCTAGGCTGCAGGACTTGCCCTGGGACCCCGCACAGGCCAGCCGGCAGGAGCCCCCAGCCGGGGAGGTGAGTGGGCTCCACACTGGGGTCCTCAGATTGTAGGCTGGAACCCTGGTGGAGAGGTGAATGGGGATCATGGGGACCCCCTGCCCTGTTTGCCCACTCGGGGACACCTTGGTCTATGCCGGGACCCTTGGATTGAGGCTGGAGCCCAGGTGGGGAGGTAAATGGGGACAGTGGGAACTCCCTGCCACATCAGCCCACTTGGGGACACCCTGGTCCACACCGAGACCCTCGGATTGCCCTTGTGAAGTGGCTCTGGCTGATTTGGAGATGACATCTCTGCCAGATGTTTCTTGCTGTTGCATCACTGGATATTTTAGAACGTGTCCTGGGAGAATCTTGAAGGAGTGAGTGGGATGTATTTTTAATAACTGGCGAGGCAGACATATCACTCCTGTAGGCATGTTGTGGGTGGGACAGTTTCAGTACCACGTTTCTGCAGTGACTGCCCTGAAGCCTGGACCCCTGACTGTCCCTGCAGGTAGCCAGGAGCCCACGCCCGGAGTTTGACAAGGACAAGGCCTGGAGGGCAGTGGTAGTGCAGATGACCCAGTGACCACGAGGAGGCCGAGGCTTTCTGACCATCCTCTCCATCCCCCTGACCCCGCCCCACTCCAGGGCAGCTTGGCTGTGAGTTAGAGTCTTCTTGTCTCCTGGTAACTTACTTTTGGAATAAGCAAATTCTGCGGCTTTGTGTTTTCTCCAACTGCCAATCCGGGGACCCCAGTGGGGACTGAGAATGCCCCGTGGTCCTGCTGGGTGAGCCCACAGGAGCACCCCAAATCCTAGTGTGGACAGCAGGTTCCCCCAGACTCCACGACTTCCTTGGCCCTTCCCATACTATCTGTGCACTGGTCCAGCCTCCTTCTGTTTTGTGCTTAGCCCCATGTGGGGTTTCCTGGGGAACATGGGACACCCCACTTTGGGGGATCTTAGCTCGGTGACCCCACTGCCATTGGATCCACTCTGACTCAGATCACCCTCAGAAGATGGAGGAGAACTGCTCTCTAGGGTTTCCAAGGCTGGCAGCTTGATGGAAACAGCCTGCCTGCCTCATCTTTCTCCTGTGGAGCGGTTGGTGGGTTCGAACCACTGACCTTCGGGTTAGCATTCCATTGTTAACCCACTGTGCCAACAGGGCACCCAGAACCCCTAAATTCCACAAAGAAGCAGCCCTCTGCATCCTCCAATCCCACACCTTTGGTGTGGCATGTGTCCGTGGCTCGGACATACTGACTCTCCCATGTCTCTGGTATCTGCTGCCTTTGATGCCCCTGCCCCCAGGTGTGCTCTGCTCCCACACACCAGGGTCCCAGCCTGCACCCCACTCCATAGGACTCTGTGGTGTCTGCAGCCCTCACTGTCCTGTAATCATTTACTGATGATCCTGATCCCCATTCATAGACACATTGTAGGTTTAACTGTCTCTGTGGTCATTTGGGGCTGGGGTCCTCATATACTTCCCAATATGGCCCAGATTACTGGTCACAGTCTGACTATTGGGGCAGCATTCTCTTTGATGGGAATCAGGGCCAAGTGTGAATGTAGTCTTCAGCAGCTCCTGGATTCTTCTAGAAGCTCCGGTAGCTGCTCCCAGTTACAAGGCTTAATAGCCGTCAATTGGGAACTCCAATGGCTGTACATCAGTGTTTGCTCTGCTTTCCCTGTGGACTCCGCAGCACAGAAGTCACCGGCCCTCACTCTTTCCTGTGTTGAGAAGAAACTCGGTTTCCAGGTGGGCGGGTGCCTGGGGCTCATCTTGCAGTATGGGACCACTAATAGCTGGGGTGAAGTGCTCGCATGGGCAGGGACTTGGCTGTGCTGTCCATGACAAGTCAGGTAGAAAGTGCAGGCCAGTGAGGCCCTGACAAGGCACATGCTCTCCTCAGAGATATCAGCAGCTCCAGAGGCAAGGAGAGAGGGAAAGCCACTCTCACCACATCCCCAAATCAGCTAGACCAGGGCAAGGCAGGACATATGCGCACATGGAAGGACAGATGCTCCCAGGTGCAGCCCTGAGGCAGGGGGCCTGGTGGGTTCCTGCCCCCTAGACCAGCTCCAGCGCTCTTCTTTTTAGAGAGAGCTGGAAAGATGCAGACACGTGTTTTTAAAATTGTAACTTACTTTGCTTGCATTCAGTTCTGCTACTTGCACCCTTTAATGCCGGCTTGAATAATAAACACTAACTGTGAATAAAGGTCAGTGGCCTGGATAATGTTGGGTCTCAGGCAGCTGCTTGCCTGGGTTCGGATGTGGGTAACAGAGGGGGAGGGTCACCCTGTGTTCATGGAGCCCATAAAGGGGTGTTCAGCGGCTTTTCAGGAGGGACCAGTCCCTGGAGAAGGACATCTTCTGCTACTGCCTGCAGTTGCGTGGGTTCCAACTCATAGAGACTGTGTAGCATTTCCAAGGCTGTAAATCTTTATGAGATGAGGCCTTCTGCTCCCATAAAGATTACAGCCTCAGAAACCCTGTTCAGGGTCGCTATGGGTCGGAACCAACTCGACGGCACTTAACAACAACAACAACAAAGTCTTTATGAGAGCAGAAAGCCTCATTATTCTCTCACTGAGGGGCTGGTGGATCTGAAATGCTGACCTTGCAATTAAGCAGCCCAACGCATAACCCACGACACCACCAGGGCCCCTTGGAAAAGACGTCATGCCTGGTAAAGCAGAGGGTCAGTGAAAAAAGGAAGACCATCAACAAGATGGACAGCCACCATGGCTGCACCATGGGCTCAGATATAACAAACAGTGACTTTTCTTGGTTAGGCCTTGGCCAGTCCCTTCCGCATCAGGCAGGTCTCTGATGGGGGCTCCGAGGAGGGGGTGCATGACCCCCTGAAAAGGGTCTGCAGGACACTTCTGAAGAGGACACACCACCTAGTTCTTCCAGTGGGGGCAGAACCTGCCTTCCAGAAGCTAGACGCAGAGTTAAGGTGATTTTAAACCACGCGCTCTCTGATTGTGTCTAGGGTCACTATGAGTCGGACTACAGTGCAGTGATTTGAGTTTGTATTTTTTTAGAGTCACTGGCCTGCTGGCCAGGCCATGCTGGAGCTCTCAAAGAGGCCGACCCTGCCCGTGCACATTTGTCACTGAGACAGGACTAGCTAGAGGAAGTCCCCTGGGAACCAGTAGCCTTTCTCTAGTTAGTGGACTGCTGGACTGTCCTGTCTTCATTGGACAGAGCAGGGGAAACCATCTTCCTTTTGCCAGGTTCTATCTCCGAGGCCTCGGGGCTGGACCTTCCTCCCTCTCACGCCTCGGGCTCCTGAGAGACAGGGTTAGAGAGGGCATACTGGTGATGCAATGCTTAAGTACTTAGCTGCCAATCATTGCACACGGACCCACCAGTCCGTGGGAGGAAGATGAGGCAGTCTGCTTTGATCACATCAGCCGCCTTGGGAGCTCTATGGAGTCATGCTTCTCTGCCCCTTAGTCCCCAGGCGTATCCACAGCAACTGACTTTAGAGCCCCTGGTGGAGCAAACAGCTCATAAAATGAGCTGCTGACCCAAAAGCTGGAGGTTCCAGGCCAACCAGAGGCACCTTGGTAGTAAGGTCTGGTGATTTTCATCCCCCCTCCCGGCAAATCAGCCCTAACCCTCTAAAAACCCTACCGAGCCATTGTACTCAGACCACATAGACCACTCACCCTGTGTCTGCGCCATTACACCACAACTGGTTTGTTTTTTAAACAACACGGGATTCTAGGTTTGGAAAGCTAACGGCAAAGTGAAGGAACGGATCCCACCTCCTCCGCACCTGTCAGATCTGAGTCACAAACAAAAGGAAAAGGCTCATGGTGGCTGAGGGGCATAGGATCCGGGTGTCCTGGACCTGGGGGTCAGCTCATGAGTGGCCCAGGGGCACGAAGGCCATTCCTTGCTTCCTTGAGGGACGAAGAGCTACCCGGACACCCTGTCCTCCCTCCCTGAAGCCCTGCACACCCATTTGGGAGGGGCTGTGCAGTATCTGGGTCATGGGAACCCAGGGTGGGCGTGAGAAGCCAGACGGGGTCAGGTGGCTGGAGGCACGGTGTGACCCGTGGGTCTTTGTGACTTGGGCTGGGAGTGCTCTGACCGCGAGGGCGGGTCCGTGTGATCGGGGCGGGGGCGGCCAGGCCACAAGCGGACCCTCCTCCGCCCAGACACCATGGCTCCCGCCCTCCCGCGCCACAGCCTCCAGCCTCGCGCCGGCGCGGGTCGCGCCTGGGACCCCAGCCTCGGACCCAGCACCAGGCCTGGGCGTCAACCCAGTCTGCACGCTGCCAACTGCGACCCACAGTGGCCTGCGTATCGCCGCCCGCGTCCCCGCCTCAGCCCCGGCCGCCCCTGGTCCCCGGCGCCACCGCCCCTTCGCCCGCGCAGCCCCACGCCCCGGGTCGGACGTCGAGTGGGCGCCTCCGCGGCCCCTGGGCTCCACCACCGCCGCCTCCAGGCAGCACAATGCGCCGCGCCGCCGCAGGGACCCGTTGCCCACGGCAACCGCAGGACGCCAGGTGGCACAGCTGGGGGCAGCGGCTCTTGGCGCGCTGCGGGGTGGGCCCAGGGTGAGCACTCTGCCCCTTAGGAACCCAGTCTGTTTCCTCATCCTAAACCCCTCCCCCACCTCTGTCTTTGGCATTCCAGACCTTTCCCCCCTCTGCACGCCCTCCGAACCCTGTACTTTCCCCCTCCCCCCCTTCTCCCTTCTCCTCCCCACCCCCTCATTCGGAGCCCAGTACCTTCCCCTAGCCCTACCTTAGGGTCCAGGGTCCCTCTCCCGCCCTCTCCAAGTTTTCTCTGCTCCCCCCACCGACTGTCAGCACCCCAAGCCCTTCCCCTCCCCAGGCTGGGTTTACATGTCCCCCCATACTTGGGAACCCAGGACTTATCCCTATCACCTCCACCCCAGCTTGACCCCTGCCCCAGCCTCCTCCCCTAACCCCTCCGGGTGACCTTAACTAGGACTGTCCTCTCCTACAGGAGCCAGAGCCCTGGGAGGGAGGAGAAGCGAGTCCCTCGAGGCCTCGGCCTCGGAGATGGAACCTGGAGAAAGGAAGAAGGTTTCCTCGGCTTTGTCGGATGAAGACAGGAAAGAAGAGAACAGTCCGTATCCCGTGTCCTCTGTTCACTAGCTAGAAAGAGTGATGGTCCCCAGGGAACCCTCTTCCTAGCTCTTCCTGTCTTAGTGACAAACGTGGGTGGGTAGGGTCAGCCTCTTTGAGAGTTCCAGAGCGTCCACGTTCCCGCGTGGCCTGGACAGCGGGCACAATTGTCTAGGACCACTAGGGACAAAACCCCAGGGCTCAGTGTCTCCTCCCAGCTGTTCATCTTAAAGTCCTGCTTCTTGCGGAGAAACGGGTGGGAATTTAGATGGTTCTGCTGGTAGTATAATGTTTATAATATCTTAGAAACATTCTTATGCTTGCCTTTTTGTCAGACATGACTCCCATATCTGTTGGTAAGTGCCCAGTTCTTGGGGGCAGGCTGATGGTTGGCTTTAGAAGGTGCCAAACACCTTCTGGTTTTTGGCTGGGAGGAGTGGGTAAATTACTCTACACCCTGGCC